GAACAATTACAATACAATTGCAAGACGAAAATACCTCACCTTATCCGTTCAACTTCCGATGTATTGAAATTTTCTCCCGGGCCCTCATTTGTTCTAGTTGAAGAAAGAATGTGAAAGAGATCGGTAACTTCTATCAACTCCGAACTTTCATGACCTATAACATGACTAGGCATGAAAAGAGGAGAAAAGGGAGTTTCTTCTGCCATTGCAACCGATGGCATAGGTACATGTAGGCAATATGAAATTAAATAGATAAGTAGCATTTATAACCCCGGGTCAAGGACAACTGTGTCCCGACTTTGGACATTCTGTTGTTTGTTTTGTTTGTTTGTTTGTTTGTTTGTTTGTTTGTTTGTTTGTTTGTTTGACACAAGACGTGGTGACACTCAAGTTTTTTAAAACTAATATTAATGCCGCCACCAACACAGGGGACAATACAGTACTCATTTTCACCTGAGTGAGCCTCAAGGGCACAAGATCGGTGACATGTCAGTGTAAGGGTGTGGTCAAGGTCAAAGACGAAGACATGGTAGCGTAAAGTGACCTCGGTCTCGATGGGTGACCCTTACAAGTTCGTAAGATGGCCGCCGATGTTGTAGATGTACGTACCCGGAACAAATGACCCAAGAGCCAGAGCTACATAGTGACGTGACTGTATTCTCTCCTCTCCGATTCTCTCTGATACTCTGCTGAACTGCCCTAACTACAAGAGTACTCGGGCTTTTATATAGTTTGCCCGCCTACACACAGGTTTCTTGGAACAAGTTAGATTCTTTGTATATCAGTCATCGTGAGTCATATCCTCTCCCTTTCTTAAGACGTTACTGGTCAGCCCCTAGTATCCCCAAATATGGTTATGGTCAAGCAGTCGGGCTTAGACCCCATGGGAGGTTAGGCCATTACTGGTGTCACTCAAAGGTCGCCTACACTTTCTCAGAAGACAGGAGGGTTACAATGACTCACGGTTGCACCAGGAATTTGTACAAAAGTGTAACAGAAACTAATATTATATATATAGCAAAAACTATAACATATCAGGTCAGAGCACCCTATTACATGCTCCCCTTTCAAAATGGAGCCGTCCCTGGCGACGTAATTACAGATGTGGTTAACATTAGTCCAAAACTAGAGAAGATGTGAAAACATTACAATCTAGCAAATCGGAATGGTGTAAATGTTACAAAGGGTTATAAAAGCGACGCTTGACAGTACAATAGAAAAATGCGATCATTTCTCCCAATACCAATTGTTCCAGTACTCAACGCAGCATGTTTCACTCGGTTGTCTGTCTTACACCATTCACATTGGTTCTACGGACATCATAAGTTCAATTCAGTTCCTCCCATAGTCAACTTCTTCTTCTCGGTTCTTCATATTCTATTTTCTTCTCGTAGTTCCTAGTTCATCCTCGGTCTCCTAGACTCGTCTGCGCTGGTAACCAGTCCTACGCCTTTCAGTATACGACCCGCAGGTCCCGAACTCGCGTCGATCCTTCCGGTAGCATGTCCCCCGGGGCCCTGTCGGATGTACCGCCGGTGGTGAACATTGTTGCGCTGTAGAAGTCCTTGGTTGAGGTTGATCTGCAAGCCGTTGTCCTGGAGACGCAAGTGACACGGTTGGGGTCCCAAAGAGCCGTGAAATCCTGCTATCCTCACCATACGTCGCATACAGCGTAGGAAAGAACACAACGCCACAGTCTGACCGCCGGCCTGAACTAGTTCCTTATGTTCCTGAACCTCTTCTTCTCCTCGCCTTTTCTGAACCTGAATTAAATTTACCAATGCCTAGCATCAATGCATCAAACCATCTTCCTCCAAAAAGCTGTCGTAGTACTTGTTAGAACGGAACCAATTAGCCTGGCCTCCCTAATTTAGAAAAAGTTACACATGCCAACAAAGATGTCCACAAGCCCTCTGACAAAGCATCATCGCTCCATCTGAATTATCATTCAGTCCCTGAGGTTTGGGTTTCCAAGGAAACGAAGAGCCCGTCAGAACTATGCATGTGACAGCCTGGTGATCACAACAAATCTACCTAGCTTCTTTCTGGTTAACAAAAAAACATGAATCGAACAATACACTCAATGTCCCGTCTTTGTCGTCCTATATTCCTACCACTTAAAATCTGCACCTCCGCGATCTCACGCGTCGATAAACTTTTCACTTCTTATCCCGAAAACTCCATTCATTTCTTCCTGAGTGTTACTCATTACACAATAAAACCAAAAATTCAAGGACAGTACACAACGACAATACAGGTCACTTTCTATGCTAAGCGACATCACAACTTATCTTTGCTACACAAATTCACAGCACCCTGCCAAGTAGCAACCATTAATTTGAAATTTTAGTACATTTGGCAATGTTGAAGGTCCAACTTTCTCCTGATTCACTGTGTTTTCTCCTCCTGGCCGAGATAACTTGAATAATGGAATTTCACCATATATGGCAACAGCCAAACACACCAGGCTACAAGGCACGCCTTGCCCAACATTTTTCGACCTAATCCTAACCCTGGATAGCTGAATTCGGATAACAAGTAATCGTCCAAACAGATTCTGAAATCAATTCTTCAATCCTAGAGCTTTTACAACAGCACAAAACTATCCCTACCAATTAGTACCAAAATGAACTACAATCAGCATGTCCACATTCTCACCGTCTGTAGACCTACGACGGTCCTACCAAACGAAGCCTCTCATCTACACTAAAACAATATAACATTTCAGCGGTCAGACAATAACGTATGTAGTTCTACCTCCATTGTCAGCTGAAAGGCACCAACCCGTCGCTCTCCTGTCTGCTCGTCTGCCAGTGGTATCGTTGGTAGCCTCTCTGGTCTTCAGTCTTCTGTAGCGTTGATGTTGAACTTGGCTCCCGGTCCTCTGTCCTGGGTGACGTACGCAGCCATCCCACCGCTGCCACCATTTGTAAGGGTGTGGTCAAGGTCAAAGACGAAGACATGGTAGCGTAAAGTGACCTCGGTCTCGATGGGTGACCCTTACAAGTTCGTAAGATGGCCGCCGATGTTGTAGATGTACGTACCCGGAACAAATGACACAAGAGCCAGAGCTACATAGTGACGTGACTGTATTCTCTCCTCTCCGATTCTCTCTGATACTCTGCTGAACTGCCCTAACTACAAGAGTACTCGGGCTTTTATATAGTTTGCCCGCCTACACACAGGTTTCTTGGAACAAGTTAGATTCTTTGTATATCAGTCATCGTGAGTCATATCCTCTCCCTTTCTTAAGACGTTACTGGTCAGCCCCTAGTATCCCCAAATATGGTTATGGTCAAGCAGTCGGGCTTAGACCCCATGGGAGGTTAGGCCATTACTGGTGTCACTCAAAGGTCGCCTACACTTTCTCAGAAGACAGGAGGGTTACAATGACTCACGGTTGCACCAGGAATTTGTACAAAAGTGTAACAGAAACTAATATTATATATATAGCAAAAACTATAACATATCAGGTCAGAGCACCCTATTACATCAGGACTCCGGGACCTCTTGGTTCCGAGTCGAGCACCGTCTGCCGTTACGCCACACGACCCCCATTCTGTTTCTGCTTCTTACATCGAATGTCAGTTCTTGATACCTATTGACATTTTATATATCAATAGTCCATTTTACAACCTTTCCCCTTCAGTCTAAACCCCACAAACATACCTGTAGTTCTGAAAAACGGTGGTATTTATCCAAGCATTGTTGACAGGAAGTTGATATAAAGGCTGACGGGTCTTCTGGGTAATTAGAAAGGTCACACCAAGCGCGATAAGTATGCCACAGGCTATCAGTCGAAAACAAGTTTTTCTGACCGCCATGTTGTGACCAAGAATCTTTCATCACAATGTCTTTGGTGTGACAGACCTTCGGTAAGGAACGTTGAATCAAAGTGACAGGGGTGTCCATATGATAAATAGAGGAGAAAGCTGGAAAATTCAACCTTTGCTAGAAAACGCGGATCAGTATAATCGTACGAAATATGCTATTCCACAAGTGCTCCATCTAACGCTAGATCTGTCCTATCCACGAAAGTTAGTATATAACAATGGACTTTTGCAACATCCCCTACGATAATGGTGTATCCCCGCCGTGTGAAAAAGCCAAAGTCACTCGACCGGTTTTCGGACACAATACTAGTACACGTAGTCAATAACGTCATCATCACTTAGCCCGTCGAGGAATACTTGACTGTCAGTTACCATAGAGAATTGATAAAGGTTATTTTTAACTTAAATAGTTACAGTAATATTAACTTTTAGCTTTCTAAGGAAAGGTAACTAGCAAGTTCTACGGAGCCCCGAGACGACATTTGGTTTCAACCATGATCAGGATAACTCGAAGGTGTTAAGGGTGTGGCAAACATTTCATATCTGGGCAATTAATTGAGCAAACACTGTGTAACAGTTTTAAGTGGACTTGGCGTGGGTGCCTTGACGTTGGGCATGACAAGAACGCCCTACTAGAGTATTGCTGATGAAAGCCCTACGTTGACTAATAATCGTACTGTAACTCTATAACCTTTATTCTCGACAAGGACGGACTAAACATGGCGTTATTTTTAGTCTTCAAAACCGGTCGAGTGGCTTTGAATTTTGTACATGGTTGGGATACTACATTATTGCAAGGGGATTATTTTTGTAACTGTCCATTGTTGTACGCAATCTTTTGGGGGGGATACCGGTAAGATAGTGTTAGATGGGACACTTTTGGAATAGTATATTTTGCATACGGTGATTCGCATTGTATTCCATTTTTAGAAAAGGTTGAATTTTCTAGCTTTCTTTCTCTATCTTAAACACCTGGACACCCGTCAGTTTGAATAAACGCTCCTAACCGAGGGTCGGTCACCATGGCGGTCAGGAAGACTTGTTTTCGTCTGTTATCCTGTGGATTACTTTTCGCGTTTGGCACTGCCCTTGGCGTGATTGGCATGACGTTTCTGAAGGAAGTGCTGCCTTCACACCAATTTTTGATGAATACTACCATTTTTCAAAACTACAGGTATGTTTATGGGTTTTGAAAAGGACGAATGGTCGTCTGATAGATTAGTGTTAATAGGTAACTTGGTAATGACTTGAGGAACCAAGAAACCCCCTTTATCCTCCGAGTTATTGAGGGCAGTCATGCCCTAGGTCATATAATTATTTGCTTTCAGATTTCTAGTATATAGTAGTTACCAATCTCTTCTGCACAGGATCAGATCAACTGGAACAAATGAGGTCCGGGGAGAAAATTTCAATTCGTCGGAAGTTGAACGGATAAGGTGAGGTGTTCGTCTCCTTTCAGAAGGAAGAATTTCTCTTGATATTTGGTGCAGATATTGTGCATGTAGTCAATTTGGATTGAGGGTTAGAGCTAACGATAGAGGAATCGGGATTTTGAATTTTGGGATAGGGACATGCATGCGTAGTTGCAGAGTGTGGTTTGGATTGACGTTTTAGGAACCACTTCGAAGACCCTTCCAACAATCTCGAGTGCGAGTCTTTATTGGAAGCGGGATGGTTTGGTATTCTTTTTCTTTCATGAATTGATAGAACTTCTTATCTATGTTCATCACAGAAAGTGGGTTATGACGTACTTCAACCCCGACACAGACCTCACCATAAAGAAGTCTCATGTCCGTCTTGGAAAATCAGTCTTCAAATTCGTAACAAAGACTAAAAAGAAGGTCAAAATCGGGCAATATTACTATCAGCTACTTCCCGAGTCGTCGCCTCTTCTGGGCAAGCACTTTCGGTCTTGTGCAGTCGTGGGGAATTCTGGGATTCTCCTGGACAGCCACTGTGGTCCTCAGATCGACTCTGCGGACTTCGTGTTCAGATCAAACCTTCCTGATCTTGAGGGGTTCGAGAATGACGTGGGGACAAAATCTAATTTCACCACCATGAATCTGCTTGGTCTTAAGAAGACCAACATACAAGAGAAGTTTGTGAATCGACTGCGTCTCATTCACGACCAGATTCTCCACATCCCACCTATGATATCGGTGAACACAGTCCCTGAAATGCAGTTTATTAACTTGATGATAGTGAAACATCACTTACCATTGAAGGTTACGTTTGCACCAACTAGTCTAATGGCAAAGATGACTGCGTGAGTTTTCGTTTCTTATGATTATTCAGAATTTACATTTACGGTATTGTCCATCAATGTCACCTACACATCAAGGTTAACCATGTATCGTGGGAAGGATGAAATTGTTAGTTTTACATTTGTGCATTAATATTTTTCATCAGTTAACTGCTGCTCTTAAACTTGCAATTTCTTAGGTTGTGGAATGATTCAGAACTCAATCCGAAGCGGGCATCGACAGGAAACTTGTTGTTCGCGCTGGCGGCCTGTCTGTGCGACCAGATCCACTTGTACGGATTTTACCCTGAAGAGTATCGGGCGTTTCACCAGCGGAAGGCGCTGGTACTGCACACAGAGCCTTGTGATGACAATAGACTGTAGATCTATAGAATAACAAATGCATTCATGTTTGGTTTGTTGCTTAGCTGGTAGATTAATTAGACCGATCAACACATGATATTCTGTTCACATAATTACATATGTACGTCCTTAAAGGTTAACATCATTTAGCAAAGGTATGAGATCATGAAACTCTTGTTCTTGCTGTGGATTGGCTTTCGGTGGTTTCCAAACAATATCCATGTTATCAATAAAGTACAATTTCCACACAGTTTCAGTACTCCTTTTTTCCAGCCACTTTCATTTTCTTGCTATACCAAGACAAATATTCAAAGTAAATTCAGATTTACCAACCAAGGGGGTATCTACATGGTTATGATATTACATGCACAAATTATTTGAAGTCAGGTTGTAACAGCAACTATTACGTTTGGCGCCACATAAGAAAACCGATATTTATTAAAACTATTCACTAGCGCCCTCTTCCGGCCGGCAGTCGCCTCACATCTGGTAATTCTGTGGCCTTGACGACCACATGCGCCCCGCCTCACGGCATACCCTGGGTTGTTTACATCGCACGCGAGTAAGAAGAAAGTACTTCCGGCAACTGTTTTATTGTTATAAATCTGACATTTACATACTCCGCCGGAAGCGGGTTCCCACGCAAGCTCAGTACTGTTCTGTTCCCCCGTTCCATCTCCATACAGGTCACCCTAGGTCAGTCGTTTGCCGTTCAAGGACAATAATCATTATTCCGTGATAGAGAAGGGCCTGTGTTTGAGATGATTCTGCAGTAACGAATAGGCTTAATGTGAATGTTATCTCCATCTCGGGCTTTCAGTAATGCATTCCGATACATGTAGTACACGGCCACTTTCCTATATCGATATAGGCATGTTATTTCAGAAAATATAAATTCAGGTGATATCATAAGGCTTATTACTTTTTTGTAGTCTAGTTCCAGTCAATGCTGTTTTTTTTTTTTTTTTGCAATTTGCCGTAATTATTTAGATAGGTATTGACGAGATAAGGTTATGCTGGCTAAGTTAATTAAGCAAGTGATATGATACTTAAAAAAAGAACATGAATTTTGTTTTTTCTAAGATGAGAACGTCCCAGCATATAAAAAGAAGATCTCCTAACGTCTTAGGCTGGTGTTTTGTCTCAGATTTTACACATCGAAATAGGACGTATGAGCTGATGCATTTTCATGATGGGGATTTTATGCATCATTTATAACCACATTTCTTCCTAAGAACATACAATGAGATATCATTTTACGTCCAATCGATATTTACGTGACGCACAGCTAATACCATAGCTTAAATGCATTCCGTAGTGTTTACCATTGCAGCGCAGGCGCCATCACAATGCAAGTGACGTTAATACCCGTGTTTGCGGACCAAAGAAAAGAAAAGATTTATACGCGACCATTCCAACCAAATCTGACTCTGGGGGTAGGTTTATGTTGCAGAAGGAATATCACAATATCACGGTAACGTTTGAAGGATGCATCCATCCGTGCTTGACTGAAGACCGTACCTGCTGAATGTAACGCAGTAGGAGCCGGTTTAAGACCCCCTGGCGTGATTGGTGATCAGATATAGGTGATAAAACCATCCCTGTACGTGCAGTTATTCACCTCCCCTCAAAAGGCAAGTGAAATTAAACCTCCGAGCGGAGATGAAAACATATCTCTTTAGTGCCTGAACAAAAACAAACCATCCATCTGCGCCTCTTGGCTGCGGGCCAATCTACATTTATTACTTGGGATTCGTCATTTGCCCTTGAACTTGAGAGGACGTTGGCCTTCGTTACTTCACACGACTATCAAATTAAGGCAGCTTGGAAATCGGGAAACACACAATTAGGGACTGTCCGCAGAGTGTGAATACAGATTAGGATGTGGATTAAGAGTTAGATTACGTTTGTGCTACACCGCCTGGTGGCATGGCGTGAATATTCATATAACGACTCCGGGAATCAGTTTTTATCAAGCGATTTGAAACCGCAGTCCACGGTCCATCATCAAGGAAGGAGATATGGAATGGAATGTTTACAAGCGTTTGGTTATTCTATCAAGCACAACAGTACGTTATCCCTATAATCTCCTCCTCTCTATCTATTATCCGTGAGTATAATTAGCCTGGGTACCATCCTACTTGTATGCCGGGGCTCCCACACTCGCTTCCCTAAATGTTTTTTGTCTCATTGACTATGGAAATAAGGTCGTAATTAGCACAATCTAGTTCAATTTATGGTTTTCTGAATTCAAATTACAATATTTCTAATGTAAAATTCCTCTCCTTTGTCATACTTTATTTCAACACGTCCTCATTAATTATGCAAATGACGTCCACATTAACATAATATAGGCATAGTGATGTTAACCTTTAAGTAACTTACACGTCACACGGTATAAAATTCCCATCATTCACCAATAAGAAGTCACAGAATTATCCCGTTAATTATGCAAATTTGTTCATCATTTGCATAATTGGTATCTTAGGGAAGCGAGTGTGGGAGCAACGGTATACAAGTAGGATGGTACCCGGGCTAGAGTATAATAACTGTTGCAATCCAAAGAGAAGATTCATCTCCAGAACGGAGAGACAACGATCCTTCCCTCCCTAAGATATCGACCCGGGGAAGTTCTTGTTTACATGGCAGAAGGAGATTGACGGCTCGACCTTGACCAAATTGGTGCTTGTCCCCGGGAGTTCTGAATCTAATTACGTAACCTTTCACAGCTTTGATCTGTCTTTCTGAACACGTTCAAGCCTCCCGCTGTGACGTCGACGAGATTCAAGTAACGGGACGTACAGCTAAGAACATGAGCGGAGAGCTATGATACCCCGAGTGCTGCGGGAGATAAGGCGTACATTTGAGCACTAAAATCGCCGAATAGCGCATCTTAATATCTGCTACAATTTTCCCCCTTACGTCAATTAATCCGCAAAATCCTAGAAATCTTCCGAATATTAGCCAGTGTGCTACCAAAATTCAATTTCCTGCCACCGACTTTACTGAAATACTGTGCGTCAACAGCCAGCTCCTTGAATAACAAACCAGACAAGCCAAGACTGGAGAAGGGAGAACCATTCCTCTGACATGAGTGGAGCCTGCCTGGCAGTGATATAAACATATGACAGCCCCACGCGTACAGAAGTAAACACTGCATCGTTGATATGATCTCTTGTCTTCCCGGGGACAAGGTCATCATCTGTTGACGGACGGATCTAACGGAGATGTGTTGGATGGTTAACAACAACATTCATCGAGAAATTAACAACAGCTTCTTGTTTTTACAAAAGTTGATATCCTGCTAATTTGAATCACGTGTAAATATTATACGTCTTCGAAAACAAAACAAAAAATCCCTGGGCCTCAATTACTGTCGGAGGCAATTTTTTGTTCCAAACGTAATACCGGTGCCACCTATTTGACAAATTAATGCATTCCTGAAATACTAGTAGATTATTTTTTCTCGACTTTTATCA